CCCCCCCCCCCCTGTGTGGGTGTTTAAACTCATGGTGCAAGTGCAACAGTAAAGATGACATCACACCTATAGCGTAGAATGGTGAAAAGGGCACACTTATACTGAAGAATACCATAAAAATTATTCCTCTCTTTCTTTTCTTATTTGTGAGAGTTGTTTTTTTTTTGGTTGTGTGTGTGTTGGGGGGGATGGTAGTTGAACAATAAATGGCAAAAAGCAAAAAGGCATTTGCACGAATTTTGGAAAGATTTTAAGAACAAAAAAAGAAAACTCAAATCTAACCTGAAAAAGTTCCAGCGAAACACCCCCCCTCCTCCCCAACAAAAAAAAAACAGTGTTTTCCATGATGAGAGAGAGAGTATTGCCCTACTAAAATCATGGCCTAAACAAAACACAAGCTTTGTGGGTTTAGGGTTTCTTAGAAATGGTATTTCCATCACTACAAGTTAAAGAACACTCCAAGGAACTAAAGGTTACTCCGAGGAACTAAGGGTTTCTTATGCATGCTTTGATGTCCAAGCTTGATTTGCATAAAATTGTACAGGACTAGGGCTAATTCCCATGGGGAACTCAGCTAGGCTTAGTACCTCTTAGGAATTCCCTATACTTTTGCTCACTAATGGGAATTCACTCCCTATATTGGTTATTTTGCTTCGAAGATGTATACCACTGAATTTTCATATGAATGAAAGATTTATTTATTTTCCGAAAAAAAGTTAAAGAGCCCCTAGGTCCTGTCTAAATGACAATCTAACCATCAATTAGTTTGTGGGTATCTCATATATCCATCATTTATTTCTCTGAGCCAATGCAATAGATCCTTCTTTTTTTTTTGCTACAGGGTTTTTAAGTTTGCATTAATTACTTCCTTTGAGTTCTGAACCGGCCTACAATAGATCTTTTCATTTGGGTAGGTAACTAGATTTTATTTCCAAAATGGATCTTTTATTCCACTAGTTTTTATATTCATGATAGTATGTACCTATATTTAAACTTAATCATTAGAAATTACCATTTATGTGATCCTGAAGGAACTAACTGAGCTGTTTCGAAGGCTTCGTTTCATCGTCTGCATCGATGATTTGAATCTTCCTCTTCTTCTTTTTCTTCTTATACGGAATCCCCCTTGCTTTACTTTGACATTCCTTAACTTCACGTAAAAAAACCCGAATAGCACCATTCCCAAAAGGGTTTGATTGTGGTGATCCACCATTCTCTTCATACGCAGCCCTAAGCCGTCCGATCAGTGCATCGAGGCTTCCCCAAGCTTGTCTGAGGGGACATGTACATGGACCAGGTGGCTCGGGTTGTCCGAAAAAGACACACCCATGTAAGTGAACTTTAGTCTTTCCAAACTGATCAAGATAACCAAGGAACTCAAGAATATGGCTGAAGTTGCACTGCGATAGTGAAACTGGAGGCCTCTGGTTCTTCAAGTACTGCCCAAAGGTGTTCCAATCTCTCCGTTTCTGCGACTCGTATCGGCTCAATGGTGCCCGCGGCTGGTTCTGATCACCCGCCGATCGTGATGATCCACCGGCGGAATCTTTGGCTCTGTCATTGGACATGATTGTCACTAAAAACTCTTGTGTATTTTTGGCATGAAATGATGGGAAAGAAGGGGGAAGAAGGTGAGAGAAAATGGTATAGCGCAGTGGAGAAAGATGGAGATCACATTTTGGGACTACTGAGGTGACAAGACTTGGGCCCTCTGAGGAGCCTTTGTTCTTCTCTCTCTCTCTCTCTCTCTCTCTATGTCTTATTCTCTTTTCTAATGATACTACATGCACTTACTATCACTTTAATATAACCTATAACTAGGGTAATCGGTGCAACTATAGTTTTCAATTAATGTGACGGTAACAATAATAATATAACAGTCTAGACATGACAAAACGTTAGGTAACGGTAGCGGAAACTGTGCTGCTATAGTCTACCTTAATTAGAGCACCGGTTTGCCTTATCTTTATCATAGAATCTTAATGTTTTTCATGGATGGATAGAAAATGAAGGGCTGCTGATCAAAGTTTATACTCATTCTACTCAGTTTCGGATTAGCGGATAAAAGGAGTTAATAAAATTTGACTTGGCTTAATAAATTATTTGAATCAAATTGGATTAGAGAACTTCATTTTTTACAGTGCAAAAATTCGTGGGCAGGCGGCGCAGCCTCTTGTTCGATTGAGTGAGACTGGTTCACGAACCGTGGGATGCCTAACCTGACATGACATGACTTCCCTCTTCTCATGAACAAGATGAGATGATGATGCAAACAAATTTTAGAATAAAGTATTTATAATCTAAAAAATTTCAAAGTCTTACTGATTTTTCAAAGTTTACTTGAGTGAATGACAAAAATGATATAAAATCAGAGATACCTCTGAATCCAGTTTGGAGGATTTGAGTTCACTAGGACAGGTTTTTGAGTGCATGCACATGCATGCAATGACAAACATGCATGATAACCTCATATGTCCAGGTACGGCAGGGAATGCTATATTTTTCTTTCCCGGGCTAGTAAATTGCTAGATATCAGTTGGGTCATGGATCCGAACTTGAGTGCTCATAATGGGTTGATCCAATTAGATAAGGTCAAAGATTTGTCTTTATGAATGTCTTGTTGCTTATATAAACCCCATGACGAACTAATAGAAGACACATGAAAAAAAAAAAATTAGCAGAATTCTCTTACTCTTCTCTCCCTCTATTGAACATTCTTAAACGGCTTTCGTACTATGAAAAGCCTGGTGTTTATTATTAGTGTAACAACACCCATATCGTTAGAGCAAGCAAAGGAGAGGTGGTGACGTATCATTTCTGGATAATACATGAAATGTCCTCGAAGCTTTCAGGATTGAAAGCAATTAAATCAGTACATCTTTTTGATTCTACGTGTGTGTGTGTCTGTGTGTGATTCTTAATCTAAACAAATCTTGTACGTGAAAAAAAAAATGATATACAATATAGTTCAAAACATACATAGCAAACACACAAAATAAATCTTTGAAAAATAACTCAAAAAACACCTAATTTCCAAAGAAAATAGATCTTACAGCCCAAGAGACTATGAACACAAAACCCGACCCATTACAAACCAATAATACAAATTCAGATTATGGGTATACACATTCAAGCTCTAAAATTAAACCTAAAAAGGAAAGTCATCCATAATCACAAAAATTTAAACTAGCATGATGGGTAATGTTCTCTTAATGGAACATTGAAGGGTTAATTTTGACCAAAGGTATAATAAGCATGAAAAAGCAGAATGAATCTTTGCTTTTTCCTGCATTTAATTGTAGTGATTTGGGGGGCCCAGAGATTATATTCTTGTTGATTGAGTATAATGAATCAAGTAAACGCGTTTTCGAAACAAAAAAAATCAAGTAAACGCGTTTAATAATTCACTAATATTATTTGGATCTAATTTACTAATATAATCAGTTACAACTATGGATTGAAAGAGGAATTCAAAAAATATAAGGACTCATTGTCAATTTAACAATGATGAATGATTAGGTCAATAAATTAGGTTCAAGTAATATTATTATTATTAATGATTTATATGATTTTGGGCCTACATGGGATACATTATGATATTTATTTTAAATAAGAAATCTATTAATAGAGCATTAGGTATGTTTTACTAATATCAGGTAGATTTTCTCTTTGATTCTTCAAGGAGAATTGTTTAGAATATCTAAACTTTTTTATAGGAAACATATTAAATTAAGAGACTTGCATTGTGCACCATATTGGCACAGTGAACCAGCAAGGGGTAAGCAAGTACCATGATGTAGGGCTCTCAATTTTACACATGATTTGTAAATTGGACACAAAAGTAATACGGAGTTAGTGGGTTTAAGATGAGCTTTAGCGGGCTAATTGGGTGGCAAACGGATAAACTTGTTAGGCTCGTCAAATAAATGAATCGATACGGATTCTATATAACACGAGTATGACTATATATGAATATAAATAGGGCGGGTATGAGTTGAACAAATTTGATATGACACGACTCAAAAACAATGTGACCCATTGTCAGCCTTAATTGCAATTAGATGAAAAGACAAAAGAGCATGAAGATGATAGTATATCTAACAATTGGTAAATCTTAATATGACTTATGAATCCCATCAAAAATCGACAAGAAGTTATCAAATCTGAATTTAGTTTTACCTACTTCGAGTCATAACCAAAGTGACCAACCAAATCAGTTTGATAACTAAATCAACACAAATTTGATTATATACGACACAAACATAAGACAATCGAATTAGACAATCGGTCCTATTTGTTGGACTCTCTCTCTATATATATATATATATGTGTGTGTGTGTGTGTGTGTGTGTGTGATTTCATCATATTTTGGTTTTCTGCACTGATTTATATCGTTTGTGTTTCTATGGGGAGCAGGCAAGACAAGATGGAGGAAAGTAGAAGCTGACTTTCCCAGCAGCCTAACGAGCATTCAGTGAATGTATTTCATTTCAGTTACATTGTTAAGATATCAGTCTTTTCTGTTGGAAGGACAGTCACCATCTTAATAATAAAAATAAAAGAAATTGTTTGAGAAGAATACAACGTATTAACGCGGTTTGACATGTAAAGTCTAAATCTATGTACTAAATATTAACAAAAGTTATACCATCATATTGATTCTCTTAAATAGTGTTCGAGATATATAAGTTACATCCATATATTCGAGATGAAGATAACAATCGTATCCCACAATTATCGTGATTGTCGTAAATCAAAGTCACATCTCATACTCGTAAGCATTTACATAATTAAGAATCATATCTCACAATCGCTAGATTTTACATAAATAAAGACTTAAAATATTTTACTTTAGAAATGGAGAAGTATTCTCTCACCTAGCAAAAGATGCATAATAAATAGTCTTATCTTTTCTTTTTTTTTGGTTCAATAGTCAGCAATATACCAGATTAATTTATACGCACCTCGACTAATCCCCTATTCGATCCGTTCAAAGGCATGTCATCCATGCTGGGACTAGAGTATTAATGAGAGATAAATCCCTCATTACCTATTTTAAAAAAATTATTAAAATTCAAATTCAAAACATCTTAATTATAAATAGGCATACTTTCATTTAAAAGACATTGATGCTCGAATTTGAACCTACAATATGTTGCATGGGTAGATGAACAATTGTATATCGCTTCGGTGTTCCCTTCTACCTCAATGCCAGTTTGTAGAAAGATAATAGAGTGTTATTTTTAACTGAACTTACACTACTTTCACTGTCCATTTAAGTAACAGTTCATCAGGTTCCTATGATAGATCCAAAAACATTAATACTGAGGTTTGGTGAGATCCAACAAAACCATACAAATATAGTGAGATCTTGGGTGGGGCATTGTGCTTAAAGCTTCGTGATGTATCCAATCACCAAACGTGAGTCATGGGGCCAGATGTTTCTTACCATTAGTGAGAAGAATCACCTTTTTTCTGGGTTTATTTGGTGTTGTAAATCCTGTCTATTTTCTATTAATTTTGTTTCTATTTTTTAAATCATTTTACACACTCACGTTGGGATGGGAAGTTTTTTGTTTTTTTTTTTTTTTGTGAAAGAAGTTGAAAGGTGTTGTTAATTCTCAACACGAACCATCAACCTAATATAGAGATCAATTCAAATGAATAATGCTACACTAGCAAAAAAATAAAATAAAATAAAATAAAATAGGAGAATTTAATAATGTACTGCTGAATGAAATGGAGGTGCTTTTGGTCCCACGTTCATTCATTTTAAAATTCAAAGTTTATTTATCATCTCAGCGTCATATCAGTTGCTCTTTTTTTTTTTTTTCTTTTGGGTATTTCCAGGGGCAAGATTTATTACTAGTAGATATATATATAAGAACTTTTGAAAAGCTAAGAGGGAGGCACAATTGTTTTTAAAACCTAAAGAGGGATATATAGTAATTGTGAAAAATTTAGGGGGGCGATTAGGGCTAATAATTGAGCCGAATTATTTGAGTTCGGTTCAAATAAGACTCGAATGTGTCGAGTTTAAACAATTTTTTAAACTTGTTAAAAGACTTGGCTCAAACTCTCAAAATTTGACTGATTTTTATGTAAAATAGTCAAGCTACTAGAGCTCGGCTTGAGTTCAAGTCATTTTGGACTCAGCTTATTTTATAAACGAGTCGAGTTTGAACAATTTTTTAAATTCGTTTAAAAAAATAAACTTGACAAATTCAACTCCAACTCACAAAGGGAAACTTCCTTATCACTTGTAGAGATTGATGGGTCAAGCCCAAATAGCCCAATTTATGTGAGAAGTTCAACCCCAATTGAGGAGCCCAACCTCATGAAAAATCCATAAAGCCTAATATAGTTCAAGACCAGTTAGACTCTTTGTTTAGCCACGTCATCAAGAGGGATAGCATGAGAAGTTTTATCTACACCACCGAAGGAAACGGTCCATCTTTGACCACATCTCATGGAGAGCTCCTCAACCACCTCGCTCGTTGAGAAGAGATCGGGAGCTCCATCGAAATAGTTGCTTAGTCGTTGGAAAGTAACCCCAACCTGTTAGGGG